AATTTGGGAGATTGAGCAGTTTTGTGCTGTTGCTGTACCGCCCCTCAACAATCAGACAATGCAGTGGGAAGTCACCGGCCAAAAACTTGTTGGATCATTTGCTCCCCTTCCCCTATCACCTTTTACACATCATTATTACTCAGTCATCTACAGTGTTGATTGATACCCATAAAGCAACAGCATAGCATCATCTTTTTCTCGCCAATTTTAGCCCAAACTCTCCCCTCCCCTCCCCCACCCTGTTAACTACGAAGCCTGCCAACAACAGACTGCCTCGCTCCATTTCCACACTCTCCCAGTCGTCCTTGTCGTCGTCGTCGTCGTTGTTGTCGTCGTCGTCGTTGTCCACCACCAACTCCTCCTCTTCCTCTTCCTCCTTTCCCTCCTCCTCTTCACCATTTATTTCTCCTCTTCTTCCTGTTCTTCTCATCGTCTCGCTTCCTAACTCCTCTCTTCTTAAATTTTTTGCTGTTATCAGCTGATACTTCTAGATAAATTGTTGTTACCTGTTCAGGTGTTCAAAAGAACAAGTTATCTGCAAAAAAAAAAAGAAAGAAAAAAAGAAAGCAAGAAATATGACTGCAAATTAGCCAGGGTAGTCGACAACAATAGGACGACAACAACAGTATATTCTCAACAAACATTGTCCTTCTTTCTGAAATTCTGAATTTTTTTGCAGGTAAAGATAACGCAAAAAAAAAGTAATAATTTAGAAACAATGATAAAGAGGAAAAAAAATTGATGAAATGCGGAAGAGAAATCAAAACAAAATTACTCTTTACTGTTTACTAGTTATTGTAATGGCGGTATTTTTTGATTTTTTTTCATTTATTCAGTATTAGTTTATTTAATTATCCTTTGTTTTTTCTGTTCTTTTTTTTTTTCTACTTCAATATCCGTTACCTTTTGTATAACTTGTTTTACATTTGTTACATTTACAATCTCATACAGTCTCGGAACGCGGTATGCCACATCGAAAAAAGGCCGACAGGGACGCTGAATCGTTACCGTCATCCGTCAAGGAAGCATCAGTGATAAAGCGTCTTCTAATTTCGGCTTCCGATATTCGTGTATGGACAACAAAACCACCAAAACAGCAAGAATCAACGTCATCTATAACGGATACTCGATTGCTGCATCATCAGCTAAATGACTATAAGGCTGAACAGAATGCCAAACGAAGGTGGGTGATATTGGTTGATCAGATGACAAAACAGTTTTTGTTACGACGGTTGCCTGTTGCAGGCAAAGTTTTTCTTGCGTTGACATTAATTCCGCTTAGGCTAAAATAATTGCCAACAAAATGTTTTAGTTTTATCTGCTCAATCATTTTTTTTCTTTTCTACCCCCTTTCCCTCCTCTACTTAGTTTTCAGCTGTTTTTTTTTTTTTTTAACAACAATCTGTTGATCAATGTTCGTTTTTTTGGCTCTGATTTATTTTTTAATGGGTTTTAATTTTTGCAACTGTTAAATTGTGCTATATTTTTTTTTTGCGTTTTCGTTATTTTAACAAAACGATTTTCTGACTCATTGATTAGTTGGATATCTTTTTTTTTTTT